TGTTGGTTGGAAAGATAGGATTAGAAACAGATCTCTGAAAAGCATGTCTTCCTAGAGTATGAATCTAGCTGGAGACAGACCAATTACCACTCTGCTTTCATGCCCCTAGTAACAAGAGTGGGCTTTCCTATTGGCTATAATGGGACTTCACTGCAGTCCTGAATGGCTGCAAAGAAGGACAACCAGTAACTCAGATTTAGGTGATTCTCTTGGCATCATCCAGCTTCCAGAAGTCCGCTGCAAGTTTATTCCAGAAGGGATGTCTCTTGTATTATTAGCCCCGTGTAGACCTCAGAATCTGGGGATGAACTACTTAGGAAAAGGTGATAGTAATGGAAAAGTGGTGAAATTTAGTCTACACTCCTGGGAAAAAAGTGATATTCATCTCCGCCCATAAGTTCATTCTCTACCACCCTCCCTGGTTTTCAGATGTAGAAGAGAATTCCTTTCAAGAGTTCATCCCTGAAGAAGCCACTAGAAAATAATGTAGTGACTACAGACAGAACTGATTACTGGGGCAATGGTTTCCTCCGCAAGAAAAGTCCCTTCATAAGCAGAGATCACATCAATGTGCTGGGTAAGTGAGGACTTCATGGGCGTCCAAAAACACTTACTGCATGGAAATGTACTGTTTTTAAAAAAGAGTTAAGAAAACCTCATCATATTCATACAAAAGCATCTTTCTTCTCCGAAAAGCAAAGCATGTCTCTAAATCAGAACGTGTCCCTTAGTGCTTTACTCATTTTCTCCAGCATCCCTGAAAAAGTGTGTTTATTTGGTACAGGACACCTGACTATAAACCTGGAACAGCGGCTCAGTCCATCCCATGATGAGACCTCTTATGTCCACATGTCGGAAACGTCATTTTGGAACTAAATGCCACCCGTGGAACTTTGTGCCCAGTGGAGCCTTTTTGGTTTTTTTACTGTGATTGTCTGATAGTCTTTCCCTTAAGCCATCTTAATAAATGTTTATGATCAATTCATTTTCTGCTCCCCTCTTCCTCTCTCTGATAAACATACTAGAATGGTTCTGGATGTAAACCTTTCTCTGGCTTTTTATAAGCTATAATGAAGAGCATGCTGAGTGGGATCTTTTCCATGGGCCTGGTGTTGGCCATATCCAAATGTGCAGGAGCTCCAGAACAGAGGGTAAGCCCACTCACTTAAGCATATCTGCATGAAGTTGACTTCTGCCTGCTAGTAATGAAAAATGCTTGCATTCCGAAGTAGCCTGTTCCATGCTGTAGGACACACCAACCTTTCCCAGAGGATCTCACAGTGGCTGTCGGTGGCTTTTGGAAAGCTGTATAACCTTAGTGCCTGCCTGTCCTTGACAAAAGGAACGACCTCTCTGAGGGTAAATGAAGCTTTGCTAAGGAAGGGATAATTTTAAAGCAGAAATATTTACAGTGAACTAGAAATCATATAGCTTTGCAACAATCAAAGCCTAAAAAAAAAAATGCAAAGCCTAGTAAAAACTTATGTGAAAGAGACATAGCTTTACAAAATTCTTCTGGAGAAACACTGTTTGAAGTCCACTGGTCTCACTGACAGAGCTTCAGGCCGGGCCCTAAGCAGGACTGTCCTTTGCTCCCTCACTTGCCAGCTCTGAGACTTGGAGCAGGTGTGTCTCCTCAGTTGTGAGTGGATGTGTTAATCCGGCCCACAGTGCCTCGCAGGAAAGTTAGATTCCTTTGCATCCACATTTGGTGTGCTCCTGCTTTGTTCAGGCTGTATGCTGGGTCCCAGGTCTGTTGCTTCTCCCAGGGCTTCATATTAGAAGCAGATGTCATGAAGGAATGAAATGTGAAGAACTGGAGTCATCTGGCAGGGATGGGCTGAGTCTCTCTAGTACGGACAGCTCTCAGCAACAGCAAAGATTCTTTCTCTTGAGAGAGATATGACTTTTGAGAGATATAAGGGGCACAAGTGATGGGGGCAGATTGATTTCTCCAGGCTTGAGGCGAGTGTTCTCCCTCATGCTGCTGCTGCTGTCACTGTTAGGTGGCCCTGCACCTACACTATCCTCACAACCTCTGCTCTGCTGTCTGTGTGTCAATCCACCTCAATGAGAGGCTCCCTTTCTTTCACTGACCCTCCGCCTTTCCAAGCATGATGTTCCTTTCTAGGAACTGGCCTCTCCTGACAACATGCTAGGAGAGTATGAGATGAAGGACACTCTGGTTATTCATCATGCAAGGTTTTTTGGCAGTCCAAAAACTTTACAGAAAAGTTGGCTTTTCATTCATTCATTGTTGCATATTTTCCTCCCTACCCCCCACCACAGTTTTTAAAAAACATTCATTCCTTTTGCTTTTCAAGGAGAGGAGCAAATGGGGGGGGAGGGGGGAGGGGTTTGTGTGGGGAGAAGGGTGCAACAATGAATGAATGGAATCCCAAAATCTCTGTAGATGTTCATTGAAATGAAAAATAAACAACCTAAATTTAAAAAAACAAACAAACAAACAAAAAAAACCAAAACATTCATTCCTTGTTGCATAATTTCCTCCCTCTCCCCTCCCCCGGCCACTTTGCTATGTACCTCTCATTCTGGGCTGTTGTCACACAAATGATGCCTAATGATAGATTCCTTTTAAACAGCTCTTCCCTTCATCTGTTCCAGTGTAGTGTTCATTATCTATCCACTCTTTTCCTAGTTTCCCCTCAATCCCCCATGTCAGTCTTGTTTTATAACAGTGATGTTATGCAGTATTTGTCCTTTCGTGACTGCTATATTTCACTCTGCATAATGTCCTCCCGGGTCACCTATATTGTATAAAGTTCAAAATCATCCATTCTTCTTCAATCTTCTCTAGTCATTGTCCAGTGTTTACATGTATATGAAGCAATTGAAAATAATTTTGAGTCAGGTGCACTTTAGTTTTTGAACTTATATCCTTACTCTTCAGCACTTTAAAGGGATTCTTGGCAGCAGATTTTCCCAGTGTATTGTGTCTTTTCATTTCTTGACTGCTGCTTCCATTGGTTCTGATTGTGGATCCAAGTAAAGCAAAACAACTGACAACTTCAAAAACCTCCCCATTAATGATGATGTTACTCTAGTTGGGAGGACTCTGAGCATCTGAAAAACTATTTCTTCTCTCATTTTCACTCAGATAAAAGTCAGAAGTGCCCAGATATGATTACATTGTACATCGTTGCATTCTACTTGAATCCTTAGACTCTAAAGCATTAGAGGCATGAGAATCATGAGAGGGCTTATTAAAATATGGAGTGCTGAGTTTCTCACTCCTTAGGTCTTAGAATGGGACTTAGAATGTCATTTCTAACTAATTCCACACTGTATTGCTGCTCCTAGACCACGTGCCAGACTTTGAGATCCACTATCTGACCATTAGCATATATTTGTGGTACTTAATTCGAACAGCTCGTCAATTTAGCTAGTGCTTTCCTCCTTGATGCCTCGCTCTGCACCCTGATCCTGTACTGGAATAAATGCACTTTCTCATCTTCATAAACGTTGATCGGAGACTGGCATATACATCTTTGTTCTTTCTCTGTCTCATCTCCTTGACTGGCTAGTTCCTGTCCATTCTGCATGTCTCCTCTTACATGTCCCTACTTCCTTGATCACGGTTGTTTAGATACCTTTCCAGGGGATCTAGCATTGTGTAGGACCTTAGACCTACCTCAGTATATGACATGCCAGTTCTTGTTGCCACTGTCGTTGGTTGCTGGCATGTTGATTTTGACGGACGTACGCAAAGGTGAACTGCTCCACAGGATATTCCAAGGCTGCGACCCTCCAGAAATCGATTCTGAAGCTTTGTGGGTGAGAGTGAACCACCAGTCTTTGGGGTATTCAGCACTACCCAAGCGTTCAGTACTTACACTTGTCCACCTCATGTGTGTCCCTTGCATTGATCTGTGAATGCTTGTGGGCAGAGAATGTGTCCAAGAGATATGTTACTAGTATTGAGTCTTGGCATGTGATAATGAGTTCCTTGTCTCCAAAAACATGACAAGAGAGAAAAGGGAATGAATATGACAGATTCTTTACAAAAGATGGTACGATGTGTCCAGAAATCCTTATTCATTTAAATAGATATTTTCACACATTAGCCAGTCAAGTTGAGCACAGCATAAGTTCAAAGAGAAGTGGGGCAAAATCAAGAGCTTCCCACTGGCTAAATGGTATCTAGAGTGATAGCAAATTCAGAACTGGAGAAACGTGGCTGGAGATTTGCTCTTCATAAGTTATGGCATAATAGTTGTGTTGGTGGCTTAGGTGTTACACTGTCAACCCAAAGGCACATGGTTCGCATCCACCAGCTGCCTTATGAGAGAAAGATGAACACCCCCCTCCTGTGCAATTCACTGCCTCTGAAAACCTGCCGGGGAGTCAACTATGAATCCGTTTTGACTTCACAGTGCATAAGACTAGTCAAGACAGAAGCAGACAGACACCTGTGGCCAGGCTAGCTGTGATCTCGTAATTCCAGTCCAACACTTCTATACAAAGTTAACATTACCAAAACCCTAGAGTGTTACTGACTTGAATGTTCTGCCCCATCCACTTACTCCCATGTAAGTAAGAGTCAAAGGGTAGAAAGAGACACTCACCAAGACACTCTTTAGCTGCTGTACCTCAGTGGCTTCCTCTCCTGCCTATTTTGACCCTACAAACTTCCCAAAGACTTAGGATATACTGGTTGAAGAGGTGGGAGGAAATAATTTACAGATTTTAATCTCAGAGCGGTTGGTGTCCACTTGTAGTCCAGTCTTATTTGGTTAAAGGAAAAATTGTGCTCAGGGATCCAGATGCTTTTTTCCTCCGTAGAGAATTTCCTTTTCTTTTCCCAACAGGAGATAAAGGCTAGAAGTGGTTGGTGAGTTTGGTGCTGAAAACATCAGCGATTAGCTTGCACCAGTGGCTACTGGATTTTTACCAACCTGAATGTTTATCAGCGCATTCCATGTTGACAAGCAGCTGATTTCTCTGTTTTCTCTCTCCATTTTTAGCTGTGAATAGAGGAGATGAATTACCAGGAAATTGGAAACCACACCAAGGTGACTGAATTCATTCTTGTAGGACTGTCTGAACATCCCACCTCCCAGAGTGTTCTCTTCTGGACACTGATGTTTCTCTACATGGTTACTTTAGCAGGAAACAGTGTGATCCTTTTCCTGGTAGGAGCTAATTCACAGCTCCACACCCCAATGTATTTCTTCCTTGGTAACTTATCTTTACTGGATCTCCTGTTTTCCACTAGTGCTGTCCCTCTGATCATGGTGAACGCACTGCAAAACTTCCCCACCATCTCCTACGGCTCCTGCTTTACCCAACTTGCCATTCGAGCCTTCTTGGCACTGGCTGAGTGTTTCCTTCTCGCCATTATGGCATATGACAGATTTGTGGCTATCTCAAACCCGCTCAGGTACAGCCTGATCATGTCTTCTCGAGCATGCATTTCGATGGCCCTCGCTGCCTGGCTGACAGCCTTCCTGCTCACTCTTATACCCATTCTGCTCTTGCCAATCAGCTTCTGTGGGCATAATGAAATCAATCACTTTTCTTGTGAAGTCCAAGCCATCTTTAAATTGCTCTGTTCTGACACCATTTTACTCGAGGTTATGATGATGGTATGTGCTGTCATTTCAATGCCAGTACCTTTACTTTTCATCCTTGTCTCTTACCTTTGTATCCTGAAGGCTGTCTTACGAATCCATCCAGTTGAAGCAAGGCTTAAAGCCTTTTCTACATGTGGCTCACACCTGGTAGTGGTCACCATCTACTTTGGGACCCTAATATATATTTATGTGAGACCCCAGAACAAAATATCTCAGGATGGGGATAAAATTGTCTCTATATTTTATGCAGCAGTGACCCCAATGCTTAATCCTCTCATCTACACGCTGAGAAACAAGGATGTGAAAACTGCCATAAGGAAAGTGACCATCAGGGTTAGTCCGGATCAGGACTCTTGCTGGATGATATAATAATGGCTGTGGCTGCTCTAGCAGCTCTGGATCTGTGAGCGAACACTTACAGAAAATGGAAAAGGACCATCAAGGCATAAAAAGACTGTAAGAAATCACGTACAGAATTGACAACACAAAAATGCAAAATTGCTGTGTCACACACATCTGGTATGAAACTAAGAAACAAATTGCACTCAGGGAGCAAGATTTGCAACATATATAACAAAAATAATAGTAGTTTATACTGATATAAAATTTCTTTAAAATCAGTAAGGCAAAGGATAAATATTCCAATGGGGAAATTACCAGAGAGGACTGTGCAACAAAGAATTACTATTACCCAAAGAGAGTCCACCAGCTGCTCTGCAGGAAGATAGGCATCTGAAAACCTGCTGGAGGGTCAGTTATGGCTTGTGTCCAACGTGGAATCTGGCCTTGGCTTTTAGCTTCTGGAAAATGATTTCTAGACCCTTACAATGCCCTGCTTGAAAAGTATATATTTGCGTATCAGGGGGCATTATGCCACACCAAATAGTCCAACAATGTGACTTCTGATGGGGACTTTGTACCGTCTGGTATCTGCTTAACTTCTAGGAAGACTAGAGATTAAGGTCAACCATATGAGCAATCAATCTAATCCGTGTGATTGAGTTACGAAGAAAAAGGTTGGATACCAAGCCTTGAGTGAACTCCCCTGCTTAGCAAAGCTCTGTGCCTGTTGTCACACATCATTTTCAGAAGGAGTTAACATTTTCCATAACTCCACTAGGAAAGGAAATCTGGGAGGTCTGTGTGTGGAGGATCTATCCCATGCATATCTCTTCTTGGACAATTTTACTCTATGTTGTTTCACTCTAATAAATGGTAACTGTGAAAATAACAAATTTGAATGAGTTCTGTGAAAATGTCCAGCAAACTGCTGAGCCTTAGGATGGTCTTGGGGACTCTCAGGTTTGCAGTTTATATCAGTTTTAGGGAAATCTTGTGAATTGTTGCCTAACTTTGTAGGTGTAAATATATAATTCAATATTCACACTTAACAAAAAACTACTTCTCACTAGTTAATCAACATAAATTTAAAACATTTATAATGTTTTTATGTTGGTGAGGGTGTAGCAAAACATCTTTGTTGGGAACACAAATTGATACAGGTCATTTGGAGGACATTTCTAGTAGCTATGGGGAAAAGTCAGTGATTTGTTTGAGAAGTTGGCCCTCAGCTGGAAACTGCATTGCACACCTCTCCCCGACACTGAAGCAGTGTGCCCTGTGTTTCCACCACTCAGGGGCTCAGCAAACATCTAGCCAAGAACAGAATGCCAATTTATGCTTTACACAGACTCTCAGAACTGTATACATGGGGAACTTACTCCAGCACCCTCTCCAGTTTGGGGAATATCACACAAAAGAAAGATCCTGCAGAAGATTACTGAAAAACAACTGGAACAGCACACCAACAGAGAACTCTCAGATGTGCAGGGTGGGTTTAGAAGAAGTCGTGGCACTAGGGACATTATAGCCAAAGTTAAATGAATCTTAGCTGAAAGCAGAGTGTAGCAGAGCAATGTCTAACTATGTTTCAATGACTGCAAAGTCATTCAACTGTGTGGATCATGACAAATTGAAGCTAATCTTGAGAAGAATGGGAAACCCAGAACGCTTGATTGTGCTCATGCAAAACCTATAGTTGGACCAGGAAACAGTTGTCTGAAGAGAGCAAGGAGTTATTGCATTGTTCAAAATCAGGAAAGGTGTATACCAGGGATGCATCCTATCTCCATATCTTTTCAATCTATATTCAGAACAGATCATTCAGCAACCAGGGCTTTATGAGGAAGAATGTGGCATCAAGATGGAGGAAGACTCATCAACAACCTGTGTTATGCAGATGACACAACCTTGCTTGCCAAAACAGAGGACTGTCTGAGGCATTTGATACAGAAGGTCAAGGACTGCAGCCTTAAATGTGGATTGAAGATCAACATCAAGAAAACAAAGATTCTCACCACTGGACCAATTGGCAATATCATGATAGACAGTAAAGACATTGAGATTGTTAACAGCTTCAGCTTGCTTGGCCCCACAATCAACACTCGTGACACCAGCAGCCAGGAAATCAAAAGACAGATTGTATTGGAAAAATCTGCTGTCAGGGACCCCTCCAGAGTACTGAAGAACAACAATGTCACTCTGGATACTAAGATGCACCTGATCTAGGCCATGGTCTATGCAATTATTTGCTATGTATCAGAGAACTGGACAATGACTAAGGTTGACAGAAGAAGAATCGATGTCTTTGAATTATGGTATTGGAGAAGAGTATTGAACATATCATTGAGACAAACAGATCTGTCCAAGAGAGGGTGAAACCAAGCTGCTCCTTGGAGGCAAGGATTTTGAAGCTCTGTCTCACATACTTTGGACATGTGACCAAGAGGGACCATTTCTTGGAGAAGTATATCATGCTCAGAATTGTGGAGGGACAGCACAGGAGAGGAAGATCCTGGGTGAGATGGATTGACGCAGTGACTAGAGTAGTGGAGGTAGGTGTGTCAGAGACAGTGAGACTGGCTCACGACAGGGCCGGCTTGAGTGCTATTGTACTTGAGTTGCCCGCGACTCAATGACACATAACAACAACATGGCAAATATTTTGTAATTTCCACATTTCTAATGGATCTCTTTTCTTGGGAATAGGAAGAAACATAGAGCTCTTCTAGTTAGTTGACCAGGTAGCTATTTTCCAAATCTTCTGGCACAGCCTGGTAAGCATGTCCAGGGCTGCTTCTGTTGGTTGAAACACATCAGTTAGTGTCCCACCAATTCCTGGAACCTTCTTTTCTGCCAATGCCTCCAGTGCAGCTTCAACTTCTTCTTTCATCACCATTGCCTCTTGATTATATGGTACTTTCTGAAATATTTCTGTGTCGGTCAATTCTTTTTGATACAGAAACTCAGTGTATTCCTTCATCTTCTTTTAATGCTTCCTGTGTCATTCAAGATTTGACCCATAGCATTTTTCAGTACTGCAACTCAAGGCTTGAATATGTATTTCAGTTCTTTCAGCTTGAGAAACATAGAGCAAGTTCTTCCCATTTTAATTCTCAAAGTCCAGCTCTCTACACAGTCTGTATCAAAACTTTGCTTTGTCTTCTCAAGGTGCCTTTAAAATGTTCTATTAGGATCTTTTACTTGGTGTATTTTTCCTTCCTTTTGGCTTTTTGATGCTTTAGTGCCATTTTCAGAGTCTCTTCTAACATTCATTTTTTATTGTTTCTTTCTCCTTTGTCTTTGTCATGATCTTTTGCTCTCTTCATGGATGATATCCTTGATGTCATCTCACAACTCACCTGGCTTACAATCATTGGTTTTCAGTGCCACAGACCAAGGGTAAAGTATTTTTATAATTATTAATAATGAGGCAGACAACCAGGAATGAGATAAAACAGAGCATAAAAGGCAGGGGGCCAGCAGTTCCAACTGAAGTGCCTTAAGCCACACCTCTCTTTGTATTTCTTGAGAATCAAGGGAAGCTAATCATAAAGAGAATTCAATGCAAATGAAGCCAAGCTCTTTCTATTGAAAACCTTCCACTTGACTCAAGAGGGAGGGGTCAGCAAATATAATGCAAGAATCGGTAAACCCTTAAGGATTGCCTTAGTACCTCAGGATGAACTCCAGCTTGTACTGTGTCTCCCCCACATCCTGAAACAGCATTCAGTTTATTACAAATATTTCATATTGGCTTCCCATACAACAGAATGCAGAAATTACAGAACAATATCATCAATATCAAATGCAAGCAGAATACTGCTGAAGATTATCAGAAAACAGCTAGAACAGAACATAGATAGGGAACTGCCAAAAGTTCAAGCAGGATTTAGAACAGATCATGGTACCAGGGATATCACTGATGATGTCAGATGGATCCTGGCTGAAAGTTAAAAATATCAGAAGAATGTCTATTAATGTTTTATTGACTGCAAAGACATTTGACTGTGTGGATCATAACAAGTTCTGGCTGACTTTGGGAAGAATGGGAATCCAAGAACACTTAATTGTGCTCATGTGAAAGCTATACCTAGACCAAGAGGCTGTGGTGTGAATAGAGCAAGGAAACACTGTTGTTGTTGTTGTTGTTGTTGTTGTTATGTCCGAAGATTAAATAATTGAAGATTTCTACTTTGGCAGTCTGAAATTGATTAAATATGCCATAAGATACATTAATAACTGGTGATTGGAATGCAATAGTTGGAAACAAAGAAGAAGAAGATGGAAGGAGTGAATATACTGCAGCAGAAAGATGGAGAATCTCCTCCTGGCAATTCACAGCCTCAGAAACCCAAAGGAGAGTCACCTAGGAGTTGAAACTGATGCTATGGAAATTAGTGTTACGATTTTGAGTACCAAAAAGACTTGGCAGTTTCTCCATTTCAAAAGGTAACATATGATTAAAAGCCACAGATACTGAAGGAAGAGATTCAAGCTGCACTGAGGACATTAACAAAAAACAAGACTTCAGAAATTGAAGGAATACCAGTTGAGGCATTTCAACAAACAGCTGTTCTTCTTGTTGTTGTTAGGTGCCATTGAGTGCAATTCACAGCGACCCTATGAACAACAGATCTGAACCCTATCCTATTCTGTGCCATCCTCACACTTCCTGACACATTAGAGCCCACTGAGGCTGTCACTGTGTCAATCCATGTGGTTGAGGGTCTTCCTCTCCTTCCCCAACCCTCTGCCTTTCTGAGCACCATGTCCCTCTAGAAGGAATAGCTCCTGCTGGCACCACACCCAAGGTAACTGAGGCAAAGCTTTATTATCTTTTCTTCCAAAGAGCACTCTGGCTGAACCCTCTCCAAGAAGTATTTGCTTGTCCTTTTGGCCATCCATGGCATGTTCAGTGCTCTTCTCCAACACCACAGCTCAAAGGCATCAACTCTTCTTCTGTCATCCTTAATTATTGTCCACCTCTCAGA